CAGAACTTCTCCAAGAAATATATATATATATATCTGTCTATATATGTATATATGAATTTCTGTTCTCACCACTTGAGTAGTGTTCTGTGCTGGTCTCTGCTCTGGTGCTCGCCCTTCTTCTCTAGCTTTCACTGACTGAAGGATGGCGAAGATGTTCTTGGAGAAGTTCTGCGGAGGAGCAATACAGATATGGTGTGATGAGTTCAACACCCTCGCACAACATTATCATCATTTGGTGAACACTGAGGTTTGAGGGTCCTAACCTAAAGGCTTGGATGTAAACAGATACACCACATGAAACTGCCCTTCATTAGAATAGTTTAAAACACACCTGCATAGTAATTATGTGCTTTATTATTACATAAGAAAACATTAAATACACCGTAAAGCATCATCTACCGATATATTAGAGTGTGAGAAATGGCCAAATTAACAGAAGGAAAGGCCAAAACGGAGTAACAAAACAACATAGATTTAGCCATCTTGGTGCAGACATTAGATGTGGAAAGTGATGTATAGGCTGCCAGAGTAATTGCTCCAAGCATGCAGCCACTCAACACTATAGTGGTTTGAGATGAGCATGTCAAAGTCCTTCAGTGGCCCAGTGAAAACCTTAGTTTTAGAGTAAATATAAACTGGGTGAAAATCATTCTACTGCTGCCATCTAGTGGTTGAAATGTTCACCTCGCTACACAGATTTATTTATTTACACAGTTGGGCTCTCGAAGCATTTCCCACACTCAAGGCCATTGTCCCAGGGAGTTGAGCGGGTTTGGTAAAATAAGACAGCTGCTTCAGAACTCAGATGTGTCCAGTAAGGTGGTCTTGATCCAAAATGTTTGACACCAGTTCACATAACAATATGCATTTCTGGTGCAAGTCTACATCAGTATGAACCTTCTCAAAAGAGAGAAGTGCCTTGGGGCTGAAGGCATTGATGTGTGGTTAGAAAAACGGCATGTTAAATAAATACCTTTCAATGTGCATGACTTCTGCTGTTGAGTCTTACAGTAAAGCCTCCCACTAAACACACCTTTGACTCGCAATGCACAATGTTGGATATGATAATATTTTCAGTTTGTCCGATACCGTCGATGTACATAATGGCAAATGTAGGTTTTTTAATAGATAAATAAAAATCAACAGATATTTGGACAACTGGACAAAAAAAAAAAAAAAACGGTCTAAAATTCAAAATGTTATACTTTTACTTTGTTATTGTCACCTATCATGGTTATTTGCATGAAAACACACAACTCAACCGATTAGGAAATAAAGAACTGAATTATTATTTAAATATCTGCTTGGATTGAACATATTTTGGCAGCATTAGTCTTAACACAGAGTTTACTCGCCCCAGGCAAGCGTTGTATGTCGAGCACTGTTATACGAGAGGAAATGTTCATTTCTGGCCGATATTTCACTTTAAAACATTTTTCTGCCGATACGTATGACGTGCCGATACAGTGCATCCCTTCCTTAAAACCAAAAGTCATGCAACACTACAAAGCATTGCTACACCCCCTGTTGGTTTTTTGGAGAACAACAAAGTAGGCACTTTCATCACACAAAGGGTCAGTGAAACAATGCTTTCCTGATCAGACTTTATTCATTAAATCTAATTAGCAACCCGTGTAATGACCCCGTCAGGACCGAAATCAAGGTCCAATAATGAGCCAATGTGCAGGTAACAATACAAGAAAATCCCTAAATTCACATGGTAATCCAACACGGATGTATTTGAAGGAACAGTCTGACATTTTAGGTAGGAATTGCAATGTATTGCTGCCAAGAGAGAGAAAACTGTGTTTGCATAGAAATATCACTGCGATTGGATAAAATTATCTCTGACCTTTCCAGAGCTCTGGAGAATGGTCGTCCTGGTCCTCCAAACTCTCTCTCTGCTGACAATATCTCTGGTGACATCCATCTCAGCGTCCACAAAGCTTCTCTGCTTCAGGGTTATGTCATCATCCAGATCCGTTTTGATGGTAGAACGTTTCTTGGCCATAATCTTGGCTTTGATGGCCGCGATTTTCTCCACTGACATGGCCTCAGACAGGGATCTGAAAGAGAAGAGAAGTTAGGATCGTTTGAACAGCTCGCTGCTTCAAGCAGATGGTCTGTGGGTGTCATTGTGTAGTAATGCATGACGTCCAGCAATCGGATTAATATTGATCAGTTATTACTGACACTGTGGTATGTTGAATATATCTCAAACTAATCAACATTGGAGCGATTATTGCCTCATACAGAAAGCACATTATGTATAAATGAGGTCTATTGTACCTGATCTGGTCAGTCTGCACGATGCCCTCTTTGTGACCCTCCAGACGGGCAGCCAGACGCTCCTTATCCAGACGCACTCGTTCCTCATCCTTAAAAGCAGTGTACACACTATTAGCAAAGTGCTGGATAAAACAACATGTGACCATTGCCAGGCTGGCCACAACAATTGTGTTTTTTTTCACTGCAACTAAATGCATTTCAATAAATACAAACCATAAACGCAGACCATTTCCTTTTTCCACCGACATACTGACTAAATGGACAATTAAATGTTTCAACAAGCAAAGAAGTGAGTAGAATGTTAAAGCAACGTTTAGTGGAAGATATTTGACGTCAGTTTACCTCAATCCTGGGTTTTTTGGCTTCAGAAGATACCTCATCAGCTGCTCTTTTCACTAAAAAAGCAGAACGGTGCTATTACTTCACAGCACAAAGTCCATTTGGTTGTGTAACAACTTTCCTGCCCGGACTACAATCTACGTCTTCCCCAACTACAACCCCGTTAATAGAAAATATCTGTGAAAATATGACAAACCAAGGGTTAACAGATAAAGGATAGCAGAAGATACAATTTATTAAGCTGTAGTCCAGATTTCAATACCAACAATAAAGCTAAACAATTATTACCGCAGGTGAAAATAGCTCTTTAAACTTCATGCAAACAAATATGACGTGAGCTTACCTTGCGTTGGCCTTTGCAAACCTATTTCTATAGGTGCACTTCTGTCAATACTTGTCGATGTAGCTGTGAAAAGACAACATTATAAACTGCATTAATAAGTTACCAATTAGACCAACTACAGCGAGGCTCCTTCTCGTAGGGCTTTATCAAGCTGTCATAATGTTTTTGTCAATCAACACAAATAAGAAATCATGACAGAGTATTAATGTGTTGAAGGACATACAAAGAAAATCTTGACATCCTGCACAAGTGTTACTTACAACTCTCGCCATTGAGGTATGACAGCAAGCCTTTTCGATCAGGTCGTCTGACTACAGGGATGTTCTCAGTCTAACAACAACATAAAAGCATGTCACCCAAAAACACTTTCAGGGCAATTTGTGGGAAGAAAAAAAAAATGCTTCATGAGACAGAAATAATAGATTGTCATATAATAATGGCACTGAGGTAGTTACACGAGTCACTTACTGCAGCTCTTCGCACATACGATGGATGTGGAAGATGCACATTGTTGAGCAAGAACAAGATAGAGTCCAAAGTATAGTACTCTTTGGGTTGTCCCTCTTTACCAGTACTGAGGGTAGAAACACAAGCAAAGAAAACTTAAATAAAACACTCAAACCTCAACGTTATTTCTTCGAGTATATGACTAAAATGAACACAGACTGCTTCAGGTTGCACATTCGAGTTAAACTAAAGTGCACAAGTCTGTAATACGAAGTAAATATAACGCAAGTTGAGTTATATGCTCAAAGTAACGAAGCACTGGATCTGAAATCAACTTAATGCAGAACTATTAACAGTTACACGGTTGACTAACGTTAATCTACTGACTGACGTTAATCCTTCTGCAACCTCATTCACAGCGTTACATGGCCAACGTTAGCTTTTTAACTCGGTAAACAAAGCTGCTTTTAGTCACGACTGATACCACGAACTACAGTCTGTCTGCTGGTCCACTGGACCCCATGACTTATCGGGAACACAACTCAAGGACTGGTTACGAGTAGTTAGCATCACATTACAGTACGCGTAGCTAGCAGCACATCTCTCATGAACACATTTAAGTTTTAAAATATTTACAAATTGTAATGTATATATAATAGGAAATATGCCTCGTGGTTTAAGACACAATACATACGTATCACGCCAAAGTATTTAAAGAGTGCTTAAAAAGTTTTAAGTACAACCGCGGGGAGCCGAGTTAGGTTAGCATCTTAGCATCTAGCTAGCGAGCCTTCCGCCGTTACCAGCACCGCAAGGCACTGCTGAGCTTCAGCAGCGGGCCTTCAGACGCGATTCAGAGATAGTTTGGCGCTGACATACCCCCAGATTATGTAGTTGGTCTTCACATTTTTCGGCCAGGAGAACTCTCCAAATATAACTTCATCTCCTTTAGCGACGATTTCTTTTTTCTGGATGTTATACTGACGGAGAACACTCAGCACATCCGCCATCTTCACTTGTCTTGATGTGATGTTTGCAAGGCCCCCAGTTATTAACACCATGTGGCCTCGCAAGATGCCTGATCTGTTTACAACTTTTTAGACCACATTTTTTCTATATGTTTGCCAGGTCGAAAAAAAACATCCGACGTTGATAAATGTAACTCTTGATATTAATTAGATGGTTTGTTGACACTGGTAAACACAGTACTGGTAGAGTCCCAGTGCCTGGCTCAAGGATACTACCACAGTATGGACACTATCGGTCACAGCCCTTATAACCAGCCACAACAAAATATGTTAATTTCCAGGAAGACAGAAAAACAACAGTATTTGAAGAGCAGCTAATTGTTTATTCGGGGTTTACATTGCCACTACATTCAGGTACTTGCATGTTAAGCACAATGGAGGTAACAGAAGTTTATCGTGGTGGTGAAACATTTGTGATCTACCATACTTCCTAATAACTATCTCTTGTGCCAGACTTTCAACTACAATCGTTGTATTAACGATCAAATAATACAAACATTTTTGCTTTATAGCATTTTGACTTTTGGGAAAACAGGGGACATTGTCTCATCATTGAAACTGACAGTATCGATATGTGTGGACAAACATTATTCACAGTAACATGGTCAGGAATGTATTCCTCTTTATTCACAGTCAATTGCACCAGAATGAATGAGTGAATGTTGTCAGCAATTATTACAGCAATTAGTGTAGACTAAAACAAGAAGCACTGCTGTGGTTGTTTGCTTGGATTTCTCCAAAATGAATTAGTCCCTAACTGCAAACAGTGTGTTTATTCAGTCTTTGAAGAAATCTCCATAGTTACATGTTTTACAAAAGTACATTCATTTTATTTTATTCCCGGGAAGGTAGCAGTTATCTCTTAGTTTTTGCATAACGAACATTATTACATAAAAACGAGGGAAATATCACTGTGCTAGCGGATTCAGTCTCGGTAAACAGTTGTTAAATAACATGGTCGTCTCTGGAGAGAACAATACAGTGAAATCAAAATGTTGATGCACAGAATTCTTTCTCAAAATTACAGTAAATGGACTTAAAGACCCAAACATTGGCATTGTTGTCTCACAAAGGAACATTTAAATAGTCCCTTTCCAAATTGTACAATCACATTTAAGAGCACCAAGGATATTCTTTTATAGGATACATTCGACAAGGGCAGAACAGACAACTCAGTTTTAAAATAAAGTCGAAAATAAAATGTAAATACAACCAAAAACTGTACCAAGGCTAAAGACAAGAGTTGTGTAAATGGATTTCTAGACATGAATATTACTATTAAAAATATTTTCTGAGCAAATTAATCTAATTATTTTTTGAAATGTCAAACGAATACATTGCAGTGATTTGACTTTGTTTCAACTCCTCTGTTTTACAGTATATTTGTTCATCCTTTATACTAATGCTACATAGGAATGAGGGACAGGCTTTCACATTTAAAATGCCTCTACCAACCTGCTAAAATCCTACCATAGATAAGAAACAGCAGCAAATTCAAATAAAATAAACCTACAGTTGCACTAAGCCTCAAACATTCCAACTCTTACATTGTTCCTCTTATTAAATCTGCCAACATCTTGCTATACATGAGTGGACGTTACTGTTCAATGGATAAGTGTCTCACCAAGAATCATCAAAGCACTCAACATACGGTGCTGTTTGCACCTAAACTTAAATATCTCATCACTTCCTTTTCAAATTTCAGGATAAAATATACACACATAACATTTCCAGTGTTGTCCAGCCAGCTGGAAACTTTGTCAATTGACTCGTAAGTTACACGATACAAAAAGGGAAATTGGAATTGTAAATGTCAACGTCAAACATTATTTGGGTTAGTGCTGTTTTAGGGCACTCTAATGCTAAGTGAGCCACGCTGGTACACCGTGTGCCTTCCTTTTGTGCTCCAATGACACGATTAGGAGACAGATCACATACGTAATCAGATCAGATCAAGGGCTAGGTTACGAATGACACTCAAAGCTCCAAGATCGAAGCCACAGATGCTCATCAAACCCCTGTCCTGCGTGTCTGCAATGGCATGGCCGATGGAAGTCAGCCCACACATCACCAACTTGAAACTGGCTCCTGATTTCTGTTGAGCAAATACACATACAATCAATGTTTCTGTTTCTGGTCATTGTTTTTGAGAAAAGCATGTGCATGTTTGCTTTTATTCACTTAAACATCGTCCCTTCACTCTTCTGTTACTGATGAAAGCCAGTTTGGGCTCAAAATGTTACACTTTTCTTTTTAAGATAAAGACAAAGTGTCAAAGGGAGCAGGTGACGGTGTTTCAGTAACTGTCATATTTACAGGAACATCGATTGATTCTCAAGAGAGCCCCGGAACATCAGCATTGATGTACATGTGAAAAGGAACCTCATCCCATTTGCCTCATCAGGTCTGTGCCCATCAAATTTCAAACACATTTTTGTGTAAGCCTATTTTCTAAAACAATCTGTATCACAGAGGACTAGGGCTGTCCTTATTTAACCAAAGAAATTCTAACACTAATCACATGAGCTTGTCGACTAATCAATTAGAGCACACTGCTCAATATAATCCCCTGCCTAAGCAGACACAAATTAATAAATGTACTTGTCTATGCTTCTTTAGAGACTCCACTGGGCTGGCAGTGAACATCCACAATGGGTTGTTGGTCAGAATGATGAACACATCTACAGCTTTCCCATTCTCTGTGGCCCACGTGATGGGAAGGGTGCAGTCTGTGCTCCCACCCGGGATCTGGAACATACAGTATGGTGGGACGGTCAGACACAGAACTCAAGAGAAGGACATGTTCAGTAAAGTAAATATGAACACAATGCTCGTTTGCTACTGTAACAGCATGTAGTCTGTAGTCACAGGTGGTTGTAAGATTACCGATACTGTAAATCATTTCTTACTCTTTGATGATGCGACGTACCTTAACCAGTTCAAATGCTACTTGTGGAGTCATGTCAGCAGAGACAGAGCAGGGAACCAAAGCCCCTTCAGAGTAGGCCAGCACATGATAGTCTGCTTCTGTCCTTGCGAAAACCTGTGCCAGTCACAAAAGGTCAAAAGACAAGCATGACATCACTATCATAAAAATACCTGTCACACAAATTCACATACATAGACAAAGGCCTGTGGACTAAGATGATCGCACTACGGAAGGAATTTCACAGGAATCTATAGTATGTGTCAACGGACCAATTCCTCCGCCCACGCTTCCCTGAAGGATGGGGTGGCCCAAGCCCTGCTTACAGACCCAGCTGTTCCAACTGGGACAGCACTGTGCAGAGTCTAGACATCTAGCTCTAATATTGTCTCACCATGGTAATAGCTGCAGCGGCAACAACAGTGCTGACCGACGTCCCTGGGACAATGCTGCTCAGCGACGCACTTACGTCTACTGCCACTACGAAGCGTTTACCCACAGGCTCCACATTCTGGGGACAGAACCGCAGAAGTTCGAGAGGTTAAGTGTTAATTAATGCTGTTGCTTGGGTCTGTGAGATGCTGTGAAAATAAAAAGGAACCTACCATAAAACTCTTGTAAAAGGCAGAGTCCATTGCTTTGAGGATGCTGCTGTCTGGTTTGTTTTACCCAGATAGCCTTGGCGTCTTTTGTAGTTTTCAGAAGACAAGAGTAGGTTGAAATGGTGGATCTTTGCCTGGTGATTTCAAGACAAGCATTACGTATTTGAGCACCGACTTAAGTTTACATAAAAACCCAAATGTTACTCAATTAGCTAGACCTTACCTTCGTTAGTGCCGTCTCGCTCTGTATTCTTTCACATACGGCTTGCGTTTCTGAACTTCCTGGTTCAAGAATTTTGTTTGACGTCATCTTACCCAAGATCTTCAGCACTGATTGGAGAGGCATTTCCTTCAACAGAGCTCTCCATACCTCCAGAAAACAAACACATATTGCCTTTCAGTTGCTCTGATTAGAAAAAATGTATTTCTAAATGACAAATGCAATGCTGTTTAGCAGTTAAGTGTCCCACCAGCCCACTCACCTGTTTGGACTTCAGGTGGTCTGTCAGCAGCTGTTCCCTCTCCAGTTTGTGCTCCTCTATTAAATTGATGACCTCCGTTTCATCACAACTGTGCTTGACCTTTTCCACCACTTCAAGATACGAAAGCACTTTGACCACCTCTTCTGAGTTCTCTTTGTCAGAGTAAGTAAGCTGGACTTCTTTCCATCCTTTTGTGACATATTTGCTGATCAAGGCAATTGCTGAAAACACAAAAGGTATGGCCATTGCAGTCTTACTTCCTTCCTTATAAATATACAGGTACGTTAAAGCAGTAAATCTTACAACATAGTAGCAACAGTTTCATTTCTTTGAAAAGTCATTCATTTAACTTGATGGTCATTGTTGAGGCTGTAACTTTTAGCGTCTTTCTGTCAGTGTTGGTTAGCGTCATTGTTAGCGTTTCTCTTGGCTTTTTTTGGTTTATCATCATAACTTTTGAGGAATTATTCCTTCTGTCTTTATATGACTTTGTAGCATTTCAAAAATGATGATTGTAAGATTCAAATGAAGCTCACTACTGCTAATTTGTAATTAACTTAGCTGCCTTTCTAATTTGCAGTTGTCACTGCCTGTGTTTCTGATCCAGTAGTCACAAAAATGTGACAAAATTGAAAATAAATTGGTAATCATGAGAAGACAATCTACAACAATGATTTAAAGACCCCACACAGCATATTTACTCAATAATCGTATAATGTGGGTCTGAGTAAACTCACCTTCATTAGCCGGTTTAGTGTGAGAAAGCCTAAATAGATCCTGATGTGACCATCCCTCTCTCTGGTTACATTTGGTCACAGTCGCAGCCAGACTCATGGCATCTTGCTCATTGTACCAGTCAGACACGGCTTTCCTCGGGGCTCGTCCCCAAATACCACACTTCATGCCCTCTTTCAATTCCTTCTTTTTCTGGATGAAAGAAAACAGGCTGGCAGGGTCCCGACAAACTTCCTTCAGGGCTTTGAACGCTGCCTGTCTGGTCTTCAGCTCCGGGTGCTGGGAGCACAAAGTCAAGGCAAAAACAGAGGGGTCGAGTCTGACGGCTCGCCCATCCTGAGAGAACCTTTTTATCTCCTCCAGCACCTCGGCCCTCCTGCTCTCCGTGCTGACACGACCCTCTTCTCTAGCGGTGTATACGTCTCCCTCCGAGCCATAACAGAGGAAGCGGCGTAGTCTAGCTTTGTCGCTGACCTCCCATGGACAGCCATCACCTGTTGAGTCAGGGAGTGGTTGCTCGATGAAGATATTGTAGCACTTCCCGATGGCTCCATTGTAACACTGGATAAGGCCAGAAACAGAGCGATGAGAGGATTTTTATTAACTTTTATATTCATTGGCAACAGTGACTGGCTGAGACTTAATGAAAGAACCCCTAAACTTTATAGAATGATGCCATATTTCATTTTTCACATTCTGGTGTGAGGTTAAAGCAGCATGAAACACTAACTCGTGCAATTTTCTAAATTATATCAGTTTGAGCTTCAGTAATCTGTGTAGACATCAAAAGCCACCCGAGAGTCTAATCTTACATGAACACAAGACAACGTTCGCTTCGCTTACAACATCACTCATTGCTTCAGTGCATCGATAAGAATAACTTAAAGCCGATTGCAGGACATGATGATAAACATCCGACAGATGACAGACACAAACTGAGCTGATAATTGAAGATGCTAGCAAACCATCACTGTTATATAACTTAGCTTGTCAACATTCAGTCAGCTATATAGTTACCGTTTCAGGCTCGCTAACTTAGTTATGCTAGCAGAGGAGGGCATGTCTGCACAGTTCAAAGTTAACAGTCAGTTAGCAGTTAGTTAATTTAAAAATGTTATATTCTAACGGTAGCTTACTAAATCACGGAGCAACGGTATCCAACCGACTCCTCACGGTTCTCAACGGTATAGCAATGTTAGCCACCCGACCTCCTCAAACCACAAACTATCAAGTCTAACATCTGAGCTTTCGAGCCCCCGGGACACCGGGACACCGGGAGGCTGGTCTTGGAGCAGCTTGCCTGGGATGGACAGCTGGTTACCTAGCTACGGGGCAACCTCAACTAAATAGTGTTGGCTTTACTGACAATATATCAAAACATATCGGTAAACAAATACATGATATGCACACGAACGTACCACAATATAGCCTATGTGCACAATGGTGAAGTTTTCAATGTGGCTATAGCGTTAGATGCAAACAGGCCTCCCCTCTTACCGTCATTGAGATGATCAAGTCGAGAGTGCTGCCGCGATGCATGCTGGGATACAGAGTCCTGTCTTTTTCTTGGTCGTGTCCCTCCTGTCAAATTCCAATTCCTCCACCCTCCCACCTCATGACGAAGTGAACTCCGTCTGTAGTAACGCGCACATCTGAGTGAAGCACCCTCCTTTAAGGTGAAGGCTATAATTATGTATACGAGTACAATATATAACAAGAGTGCAAATAACAATGCTTAAAAATGGAATATATGATTATGTGTGTAAAATTGCAAGACAAGTAAATAAATAAATAGGAATAATTAAATGGACACAATAACTAAATGCAGTATTAATGCCAGAATAAAGCAGAACAAATTATTGCACTGTTAATTAAGTCAGTATTGTGCAGTTGAAGATATCAATGAAGATATTATGGCTATTTGTAATAAATAAGTGTGTGTGTGTGTGTGTGTGTGTGTGTGTGTTGTAAAATAAGTATAAGACTTCACAATCAAATGGAAACATCTACCATTTGCTAGACTAGACAGGGGTACATTTGATCCTAAATACAATGTGACCTTTAAAGTTGTTAACGCTAGGGTTGGTAATCTTGATTCATTGATTACTGTCAGGATGTGATGAGAATTTCCCCCAAAATATCAAAAATATTGTTGAAGAAGATTACCAACCCTGCCTTTAATGTCTGTATGACAATATAAATGTCTATCTTAGTGTCGTCGAGCACTTTACGAGTAAATATTTGTTTGGGTAATCGGATGGAACCATTTGTACCGAATGTCTTCCATGATGAACACAAAACAGCGTTACATGTGGTTAGAAAGGGGAAGCGGGTTAAGTCAGCGGCACAATCCAAATGTGCCCCCTGAGGCCTTAAGCCCTGAACTCTCAGTGACTAAACTGACGTCACCTGGTAAATGGAGTGTGAGAGGCTGCAGGGGCTTGCAATGGTATAAATACAAAAGGGACAGCAGTTTTCTGCAACCTACATTCCTCTAATGTCCCAAATTTAGATCAGGAATTTAAAAAAGTTTTCAGGGGGGACTTACCCATGAAACCCCCTCCCTATAAGCTAAGTTTTAGGACTTACGTGTTTCTCAAAACCTGCTTTGGGCCATGGGTGTAACTGGCAAAACGAATGGTGACTGAATTCCATTTAGCTCAATTAAAAAATCAGCACAAGTTGAAATGATAAAAGAAAAGCATTTAGAATCACTGTTAGTTTTCTTATTCTCTTTACCACAAGACATTGCTTTCAAATGGACGACTGACAGAATGTTGAAACTCTTTTTCGTTAACAGAGCTTATTTTAGCCATGTGTTTTCAAACAAACCACAATTTAAATCATAAACGCTATAACTTGTTTTCTGAAAATTTTGAACCCAATAGCTCAAAGGTTTTATTATGTATGTATGTATGGAAGTTTTCCCAGTCACCACTGGGTGGCAGTAGCACATCAAGTGTAAGGACACAGGATACATTTTTAATGAAAACATAGGTAGTTGTTTTGCTCACTTTATAAATAAATAAAAAAGTTGCACAATTTGTATGAATTTACTAAAAATTAAAGCTTACGTTGACTCATGATGCATACAGGGCAAAATCATTCAAACTTTATTAAATATTGTTTAAGTGCAAAATCACAAAATACACAACGGTCTTGCAGTCATGTGCATTTCACTTGTATAAAACCAGAAATATTTACATTCTAGACTTTGTCTGTCTTAGCAAAGTGCCCCAACATGTTAAAACACAGTCTAACATGTGGTGGACGAGGTGGCACCGCCTGCAGTGTGTTATGTCAATCGCACTGGCACTGCTTTCAGTCTTGTCAGACATTGTGTTGTTGAGGTAATGTTTTAAGGGGAGGGGAAGTGCCTGCACAGTTTCTCTCAAAAGCAGTTCCTGAGCCTGCGTCCACTTAACACCATCAACATGCATGGCGTCAGTCCTTGTGCAAGAGATACACCTCACACTGCAGGCTGATTGGTTTTAAATCATGCTGCATTGGATCTCCGGTGCTCCTTATCTTCAAGGCCTTTCTGTGCTTCGGAAGGCCCCTCTGCTTAGCAGCTGCAGCAAGCAGGACTTTGTATTGCTCGGACTGTAACTATGTTGATGTGGTTTACCGTAAATGATTAAGGTCAGCTTGTTTTGGACTTTAACTTCTTGAACCTTTTCTAGAAAATTGCAATTCTTGTCACTTTTACAATCTACACACTGAATATTTATACGTAAATTAATTATGCTTTGCGTATATTTAGGTCTGAGCATATTTTGCTGCTAGTTATTATTGAGTTTGAGTTACCTCTCTGGGAGACTTGTTACTCTCCGTGTTAGCTCCTCCGGACGGTCAGAGGTTTTGAACTCTTGACAGGCGAGCCAGAAGTCCAGATTTTCCTCACAAAACTCTGATTTCAGAAAGTCCCAAAATGCTATTCGTCCACCTTATACACAAGGGGACATAATGCCATTATAAAGAGAACGGAAACCAACCGTGGTATTAGTTTTGTGTTGCTTGAAAGCGAATGAAAATTACATTTCTGGGAAATGAGTGTCTCCAGAGATTCTCCCAGTAGGCATGTTTCATTTGTTTCCTGTCTGCAGATGGAGGAAAAGTAAGGTTTTTGTGAACATTTTAATGAAACAATATTATATATGCAGTATGATTAAAACAACACCTTTTTATTTTCCTCCATAGTAATGGACTCTGGATGAAGTCATGTATTCTGGATTTCCATGCGTTATGTCTACAAGAGAGGATAACAGCATTGAGAAAGTCTGACTTCCCCAATAGCCTTTAATTAAAATAAGCCTGATTGCAAATGATACACACTGTACTTACATTCTCTTTGTGTCCCGGAGGTCCAGAGATGTCTTAGAGAGCCCGTTCATTGTTGAATTTGAGTTGCACTTTCTCCTCTCTGAATGACTATTTGACAGTATATGTCTCAGTATGCATGAATCCTCAGGAGAATTTTCTTTAGATTCAAGTGAGATTTCCAACCTCACCACTGGTTCCCGACTGCCTCTTCTTACTGATTGTCAAGTTTCTCCCTGAACTACAGGCTCTCTTTGTCTTGCTATCTTTAACCTCTGTTGACATACTGCCTGATTGTTACGAAATTCGAAGAATACTTTCAGTGCGTCAAACCTTGATCTCTTCCTTAAAGTTTAATTATAGAACAGAAGTATGCTGTGTATGACAACCCCCGTCACATTCTCCACGGTTAAATGCATGACATAGTTTCTACTCAATTTAGCTCACCTTTCAAGTCTCTGCTATTTTTAGGCAGAGGTCACGAGTTTCTTGAAGCAGTCTTTCTTTTTTCAACGCAGTTGTGTGTCTTTCTTCTTTCACAGCTCCTGGATTACCTCCCCTCCATTATCACTGCTGCGTCTTCATGTTTTCACTTTTTATTTTTTTATTTAAGCTTCTTTAAAATGCTGTCAATTCATGACGTTATATTAAAATGAACATCTTTCTTTTTCCTTGAATTTTTTGTCAGTTTTGCAAAAAAAATGGTATGCCTGCGCATGTGTCATACCCCATAGTTTAAGACCATGTCCCAGCCGTCATTTAATAAGCCTTGGGTTTTAACCTCGAATTCGCAGTTTTGGCTTTCACCACTTTTCGTTTTTAGGTGGCCAACATATTACAATAAACTTTCATGAAGTGAAAAAACACTGTCAAAGGGTTAAAGTTGTAAGACAAAAACACGGGTAACTTCCAGACCGGACAACGCCCTGGTAGTGACCTGTCAATCACAAGGTAATCCCGCCCTTAATCCCGTCCATACCCTGATTTGTTGTCTATTTTCAATGGGTTGATAATTTACGAAACAAACGTGCTGTATAGAATAAGATTTGAAACTGGTGATTGAGACCATAAACTCTTGTTTACAATGTTTACTGAGGTAATAAATCAAGTGAGAAGTACGATCATTTTCTCATAGACTTTTATACAATATGACTTCTTTGTGCAACGAGAGGAGTCACCTCCTCCTGCTGGCTATTAGAAATAATGCAAGTTTAAGGCACTTCAGCGTTCACACCGGCTTCACGTTTCAGAACCTGAGGTTGCTGCCTGTAAATTATAGATATCATCAGTGCACACTCTATTTGAGAGCCAGTGCAATTACTTCGGGGCAAAAAAATAAAAAAATTCAGTTACTTTCTCACTAATCTGAGAAGTACCTCTTTAAAATTTAAAGAGCATGCAGCACTTAAGCAGAAAACCAAAAATTGGAGGAGAGCAACTGCAACACAGACAGAAAAATGGAAGATGATTGATGATTTTTACAAAATGGAGACGATAACTTGTAGGATTAAAAATTCATTAGGAAACTTCATACACTAAGATTTGGAGGTCACATTGCACATTAGGGTGGTGGATGAGATGGGAGTGGGGATGGAGGTGGGCGATAATAGACAAATATTTAGATTTCTTTGAATCCTTTGGGAAGTAATTGCCGTATTGAATAATAACTATTAAATGAAGAGAAACAAGAACACAGTTATACAGCCAGGAGCTCTGAGACTTTTTATTTTAGCACAACGCTGCTTTGAGCTAAATGCTGGCAGAACATTTTAAAACATGTTACATAATGTCAGTCTGCGAGGGGCACGAGAGGAAAAGTCATTCGGACACATTGTCGGGTCAAAATGAATGTTACAACATTTCATGGAAAATCATTTAGTGGTATCTATTTCAATCTTGACCAAAGTGGTGAACCGAAAGACCAACATTGCTATCCCAACAGCCTGAAAGACCAACATCGTTATCCCAACAGCTACATCAAGTTCAAAATACCAAAAAAACCTGCCGCTTTAACTGTTAAGCAACAATAGCCACAGCTCTGTCAGAATCTGAAAGTAACAATAACTTCGTCTTTTTTTTCTGGCTCCAATTCCACCTGTCACTTTGTTAGGACACATTTATCCATCATGTGTATTGTTTCACATGATATTTCACAATCAGTGAATGAATGTGTACTTTGTAGTAAATAGAATATGAACATGTACTGTTGAACAGAACATCATTGTGAAAGAAAAACTACAAAAACCACCCAAACAAAAAAACGGTTTAGATGACACTGAACTTGAACCTGCCACTTGCACAAGGACTTGATGCATGCGGATTGCAGGACCAGACTGGGCTGTGTCGAACAGGAAGTAGCTGAGAGAGCAAAGACCTGCTTCATACATGCATCCAAAAGTGACTTGTAAAGTTATTATAATCTGTACTTTGAATGTGAGTAAAATAAATCCACTGAATGGTGTTATGTGGTGCCGAATACAGTTGGTGTGATAACACTTATGTCGACAGCAGTGAGCCTGTTCCAACACAATCAACAGAGAAATCATGCAAACATTGGACCCACATTTAATCAAGTTGGATGTGATAGATCAACATCAGCAGCTGCTAGAACAGATGAGTAACAACCTCCCCTATCCGGTCAGCAACTCACGACCTCTTGGCTGTGGAAGCCTCAGTCTGCACCCCGACATTGTGCTGATTCTGTGAATTCATTCCAAAATCAGCTCAAGACGTACCTGTTTAGACTGGCGTTTGTTTAAACTCATGTCCTAGGCCTGCTTTTAAGCCATGTTTTAATTGTGTACTTTCTGTTTTTTGTGTCTTTTCAAATGTACATTTTTCACCCTTATATGGTCACTTTGTGTTATTTATACTCGTAATTCCACTCCTGTTAAGCACTTTGTGACTAATGTCTGTGAAAAGCGCTTTATGAATAAATCTTACTTACTTACCTCAGTATTGAGGCCTATGTTGTAATGTATGATGTGTGAAATATTACTGGAATACTCACTTTAAAGTTACCACTAAAGCACTTGCGACCCCACGTCACTGAATCTAATAACTATGAGATAATAAATCCTAATTAATAGCTACTCAAAAATATCCCATAATTACGACTCATCTCATATCATAATCATGACATATTATATACTCAAGATTATTAGAAATTATCTCATGATTTTCTTCTCAATCATGAATCATAATAAGGACTCAAACTGTTTTCTCCCACTGGCACAAAGCTTCCAACCACTGTATTACATAACTCGCTAAATTAACCAAAACATTTATCAGAATTTTATCTGCTGCTCTTAAATCAATGAAACAATATATACATTGTAAAAAGCAGTTGAATTAAGTAACGTTTTTTTTTCTCAAAACAAGAAAATATGATGTTCCAAAAGGAAAATTGACATACTTTACTTGATACCCCTTACAGACACCATAATTTGTCTTTTTATCCCCTGATTTAAAAACATATGTCTTTGTTTCAATAGAATATCTCCAAAAAGTGAAACTCTATTGGAAACATGTTAAATGATCTCACCCTCCTAATCATTTGACTTTACAACTTTTAGGATAAGACTCTATGGCCATATTTTTAAGCACACATGATTCATTATTTAATCATTGCTAAGGAAGTCGTGTAAACACAGGCAGAGCAGAGAAGCAAAACAGAATAGTGATCTAGTTCTGCTTACGAGTGGGTGTTACACCATGTCCTACAGAACACCAGTTCAATCACACCTATTTAGGCCACAGGGGACCACAATATGCAACAAAACTGTTACTGTTTGATACATGAATGAAACTCAGAGTGCGTCAACAGGATCTTTGATCATCACCATCATCATTTTAAGCGGTTGTCGCCTAACTCACAAATGATTCAGTAGGTTTGCAGCGTATTCAACTGTGTTCTTCTTCCACTCTATACTGTAGATATAAACATAGAGCCTTGATTTGCATGATATGCATTGAGCATTGTGGTCATGGTGGTATACTTTTAATCACATAGTAGTTTCACTTAATACAACTCCAGCAGACAGAATCAAGTTGGAAAATATTTTTACAAAAAAACATTTGCAATTCACAGGGTGGTGATTAACGGGTGGATCTATATCGTTGGGTTTAACATTTTAAAATGAATGTTAACATGCATGGTCAAGTAGTTTTTCCCTGTGTGCTTTAGCTTTCTTTCACAGTATGAACACCTGCAGGTCGTGGAGACTCTTTGTGTGTGTGTGTGTGTTCTGTCTGTTTCCACATCTTCCAACTGATGCATGCTGGGATAGATGAGATAGATTTAAGACCAACGAGGGACACTACGCTGCTTGAAGGCAAAAACAGAGAGGGTGAGGAGGAGTTTCTTCCCTCAGGCTATCGATATACTGAACCACTGACGTTCACATCTGAAACTCACTAAATATAATTTATAACTCATGAACATAATCCACCCGCCTGCCATTCATTATTGTATGTATCGGTTATGATGTTTACATTTTCGGAGACTCATTCTCTTTCCATTGTTGTTATTTTCTTCTATATTATTTTATATAGATATAATATCTATATAATTATTATTTAATTGCTTCTAGGCACAAACAAATTTCACTGAATATTGTACTGTGTTTATATGTCACAAATAAACATCAATTGATTGATTTTATAGTGAAATATCTCCTATTCTACGGGTTGTCATCAAGTTTGGCACAGATGTTAATGTCCCCCACAGGATGAATTATGAAAACTTTGGTGATCCATTAACTTTTCATTTAGAGCCACCATCCGGTCAAACCTTTTATTTGTCTAATAAGCCTACTCTGGTTTTTAAAATCTAATAAAATCAGATGAAGTACCCACAAAACGTATGATATTACCATCAGCCTCAGCTATACCTAGTGTTTAGTGCTAATTAGCTAAAGTTAGCACGCTAAACTGAGAGGGTGACCATCGTCATTGTGAGCATGTTAGCATGCTGGTGAAGGATAGTTCACCAAGCTACAGCCTCACAGAGAAGCTAACGTGACTGTAGATGTCTTCAAATCCTAAAAATGATTCTGTTTTAATTTGACATGTTTGACTGAAGTAGATTTTCATCATGCTGAACATTTTTCACCTTCCTCTGAAACAGACCTGAAACAAAGTGTCCTTTGTTGAACTGGTTGAGCAACATCACACAGTAATCCAGTGACCTGCTGCACACCGCCCATGTGGTTGCAAAAGGATGACTTCTGTCTCATGACACACATGGCAGCTAAACCGACAGTCTCACTGACTGAGTGGTATCTTTAGTGGATATCCTGAAAGTTTTACAGACATAGCGATTTGTAGATTTGTGTCATACAGTGCGTGACAACTCAAATAACCTGTCTCTCAGACGGGACCTCATATTCTTGGTCTTCTATAGCTTCTCACGGTCATATCTACTGTTGCATCATCTTGTTACTAATAAACAGAGCATTGCAAATGAGGAAAGGATGACTCGTCAGCCAATGATTCATCTGTGTCAGTTTAACGCAGCTGCATCTGAGTGAAAAAACACCAACGACCTCTGTGAGAAATAAAAAGGATGTTCTCATCCTGCTGAAAGCCCTTTTGGCAAAACCACAAAATGACCGTTTTTACACTGACAATTTGCTGTCTATTGCTCTCTAAAAGCATGAAATAGCTCCAGAGGCATTATTACTTGTCTATGTTCATCCGCCTCAGTGTGTGCGCTTGCACAAATGCAAGAATTAACAAGTGACATTAAAAGAGGATGTGGCTGAGCATTTGGGTCTTAACACTTCTCCCTTATTTCTGTAACCTTTAACAGAGTGACACTTGATAGGTTTCTACTCATGAACTTCCCTTTTGTTTTGTTTTTGTAATATAATCCAGTTTCAGTTTTAAAACTAAGAACAATTCATGAGGATGAGGTCTGATTTTTATACCCATAAATGAAAGACTGAATGTTAAAACAAAGGCAATGAATGAACTGCAGAATGTGCTTGGAAGACATTCAAAAGCAACAATGACGCTTCTGGCTACGTAGGTGGAAGCATTATGCAACAACCTTTCTCAATGAGGTCCTAATTAACCCTTCAAATTGTGAAATGTGAGAGAAATGGTGTTCAACACTAAAGTTAACTGAATGGTATTTCACTCGTTGTAAACTTACCGTGTGATGAGAAGCAGAGACAATCTGATGCAAAATAATGCAATAATGCTGTAAGACAATTTAAATTTAAGTGATTTTTCCAAAAGGGGAAAAATGGGGGAAACTGTATGTTAAGGGTTAAAGGAATGATTCGAAATTTTGAGAAATTTCTTCACTTTCTTGCTGAGAGGTAGATGAGAAGATTGATAATACTCTCAACATGGAGTAACTCAAGAAAACAAAAAAGCATTTTTCCCAAAATGTCAAACTATTCCTTAAAGTTTGGAATCTAAATACACACTGTTTAGTATTGCAGAGAACATGAGGAATAATTCTGGTGTTCTGCTGAAGACTCAGTAAATATTCTAACAATGAGTAATGAATGAATGACATCTGAATGAATTGGTGACGAAGTTGCTTCGCGGATTCTTCAGGAGACGTGTATCTAAAGCTTCATGGGAACCTGACCTTGTTTGTGTCTGTTTATGTGAGAAGAACAGACTTTAGTCAATGTGGCACTGCAGGTTTAAAGTAATTCGTTTTGTGTAGATTTAAAAGCAAATATATAGTTTATTATCAAATATGTACAAATTCACCTCAATATTCCCATTCACATAACATTCTCACAAACTGTGGAATACATATAGCTTAACACAAATCATTATAAATGTAACATATCAGTCATTTCAGTGTGTGACAGTACTGTTGTCAGAATGTAAAAATGTTTTAATTCATAACACTGTGCATAAAAATACACATCTTGATAGCGTACTTTTCTATTCCTTTAGTGAGACAACAATAAACATAAGATGGTGTGCAATCTTTAGCTGAGCACTAGTATCTTGGGTGGAGGGTGTTGGTTGCACCACATACACTTCCTGGCATTTCGTACAGAAAGCCCCTTCTATTTCCACTACATAATTGTGGCATCTCTGGGAAGTCCTGTGCTTTACAGCAGTTATCACTTCTGAAAATGTACGGCAGTAACCATTTTTGGCCTCTATCCGTCCCTTCTCAATATACCAGCTGGTTGTGAACAAACCGTCTTCAGTTTTTTTACAACAAAGTGGACTTCTCCTTTCTAACACAGTCATATGAGGCCGTGGCCAACCCCGACGCATGTCATCTCCGCCTCAGAAGGAAGGCATGATAGCCAAGACAAGCAAACACACAGCTTCTCTCGCATTAGGCTCAGCTTCACAGTACAGCTTCTACAAACATGTCTGTGGTATCTGCTTTCTTCACATCTTAACTGATTCTGATGTGGAGTCCAGTAGAGCCTGATAGATGTCAGACCTGAGGAAACGTGGGTAGGAGTCCCTCTCCATCAGCCCGTAGACAATCCTCCGGGCATCGTCGAAGCACACGGCGGTGGACGTCTTCATGTTCCGCCTGATCAGCTCTCTGGTCTTGTGGTCAATGTTGATCTGGAAGTAGAGGAATAATAATGAGGACAATTAAAAAGTAGCAACAGGGGTGTTACGTATTGCGAAAAAAGGAAATCTCTCTGCAATATAAAAACCTCTGTGCTTACTTCTCTGGGAGCCTCAGCTTGAATATAGCGCTTGAAGATCTTTTTGGCCCTGGAGGACATCCTGAAGGAAGACTTGATCTTCTTATAGTCCTCACACACCAGCCAAAACTCAATGTTTTCATCACTGAACTCTGACTTCAAGAAAGCCTGGAATATCTTCATGCCGTCTAAACAGAAAATGAAAAGTTAGTTAGTCAGCAATGAGGATGAATACTGACTGTGAAACGTGACAACGGGACTGTACGTAACTTACATTTGGATGATAGAAGGCTCTCCAGTGAGTGTGACCACTGGGACATCTCCTCATAACAAAGCCTGTAAAACAGGGGTGCGCTGTCACTCACATGAGCAACAATATATGCCAACATTTCAGATCTTTATTTCCCAGTGGAGAAATTTCCTTTACCCCTTCCACTTACCCCTCAGTGTTAGCGGCTTGAGACGATCTACGCTGCAGCCGAGACTTCAGGTTTCCTGCCCTGGTTAACCAAACACAAATCAATCAGGCTTATTTACTGGCGTGTTGTTCTTCTACGAAAAGGCTTATCAGCAATGGCACAAAAAAGAGTAGATAATTGTGATAAAATATTTACCTCTTCTTGTTATCAGTGTCCATGTTGAGGTGCTGCAGCTCCCGTGGTGCTGATGTATCTAGACTCGGCATGGCAACAATGCGTTGTACGTGTGTGACTGTGTGTTGAGCTGCTCTTCGAGAGATGTGTGACTGTGTCTGTTAGATGAATCCACTGGTGTCAACTTATATATATACAGCAGAAGTCTGAAATGAGGTTGTTGAGTATAGCGTCACACCATCATGCTGAACTAACCACAGAAAAAGAGGAAGTTGGGGGGGTGTGACGCAAACCCGCACGGAATGCAACTGTAGCCTGTGTGTAGTGTGCTTAGACCTCCATCGTGTTTATTTTAAAGTCTGGGCATGCAAATGGGGCAGTGGAACATTCAGCAGCAGATAGGCAAATGCTTTAGTCTCTGTTCCAGTCTGCCTCGAGAACCAGTGCCACGCTTTCAGGCTTTGGAAACAATCTTCCCTTTACAAATGAAAACTGGTAAACAATAAAATGCATGCTCGCTCAGTTCAATACACTGAGGGGCTTTGCTGCTACAGCCTTACTCGGCCTGGTATTACCACTAGCGTTTGGTTGGTAGATAGTCAAACTATTCCTTTAACCAGTTCACTTTGTTAACTTAGAGAGTTGAACCAAACATCTAAAATACATGTTATTCTACTTACCTGTAGTGCTATTTATCAACCCGGATTGTTTTAGTCTGTGAGACACAGTTTTGAGATATCGGCCGTGTTATATGGCACTCGCTTGTGGTGCTCAAAGCACAAAAAAAAAAATACATTTGAAAAACCCAACAGCAATGTCTCTTTCCAGAAATTGTGAGCCGGTTTTGCAAGATAATCCACAGGCCTTGTTGTGAGCAGTTTCATGTTGTGGTGAACTATCCCTTTAAGCTAGATAATGCCCTATAACGGACATCACTGAGCCAGTGACTTAAGACTCTTTTCCTGTTTGTGACAGTGATGATTTAGCACGTATTTACCATTATCCTGTTTAGAAACAATCACGGTGCAATTAAATGAAACTCAGTGTGTTCTTTGGTTTCAGAAATCTCTCAGCTGGTGTCACCGACCCTGTCTAGAAATGACTGAATTGTTTAGTATATTTAATATCCATGTTTGTTGCTCCAGTTATACCTCAGCATCTGAGTTTCTAATTGTAATTAATTACTTCAACATGCAGTTCTTACTAGCGTGTATTTTGGGTCTTGTCTCTTGTTTTGTCTCTGACAGAAACACATAGCTTCAGGCATTTAGTGCTGCTCTCCAGCAAAGTTCAGTCTTGCTCTTGGTCAATTAGAACTTTCTATATTTGCTAATGACTTAGTACAGTGGGCTATAGCTTCTTGTTGTCACTAGATATTCGAGAGTGGAGGCATACAGGAAATGTGGGGGGAAACAGAGGGGGATGACATGAAACACAAGTCGCCCACCGGAACCAAACCAGAGACACTGTGTTCATGTGGCATGCAACTAAGCCGCCACAGTGTTTCCATTTTAGACAAGACTGAAACCTATAACCAGTTTGTAAACGTCATTGAATAAAATATCCTCAATCCTCCCTCAGTGTTGTGAGCCGTGTCACTGAAGGATGTTTTATTCACTTCCTGTTATGTTGACAGGACGTTTGTCAAAACAAAAGCTTTCACCTGTCACCTGGACATTCCTATGGCTTTTTAAAGTCTTTAAAAGAGAACATGATCTGACCTTTTTCCAGTTCCCCTTCTCCTCTAATTCAGTACCAATGATGTAAGCATAGGAACGTTTTTGGACTGCTGCTTATTTATGACAACCTTATTGCCTTATTATTAAAAACTTCCAGTCTGGTTTTACAGCTCGTCACAGACCTCAGCTTGTCCTTAATTATCTGCTTTTATCACATGACATTTGAGAGCGTCAGCTCTAATCACAAAACCGCTCCCATTTCTAACACTAGCACCCGCTTTTAGGGGTTTAAGAAATACACCGTGGCAGTCAGCAGTGGACACCACTTTCGTCATAGAATTTTTCTCATAACCTTATACATCCCGTAAGTTCCTGATCCTCATATGTGGTGCGGAATACATTTTTAGCAAACATGTTCCAATATACCCAGTCATGTCGATGCTGTATACAAAAGCATCCTCGTGCGTTCATCCCTGAAAAAAACCTGGAGACTTTCCTTACATCTCATGTAGATTAATTTAGTGGAACTAATTGAGTTGAGTACTTTTCACTAAATTTGACAAAATCAGATTACTCAAACTCTTCAGCGATCACCATCACCTTACCGGGACTTCTGTGGGGAATCTTTTTTGTAAGATATCATACGAACTGTTTGGGGACCAACGTCTTTAGAGTTCATTCTCTGGGGACCATGAATGTCCATGAGGACTTTAGGTTTCTTCAGAAAATGTATTTCTACAGGATAGCCGACAATTTGTCATTCGTTTAAAACTTTGTGTTATAACCTATAATTCTACTTTATCCAACTGATCTACCTATATCTTATTTCAATGTCCTCCTCATTGTATTGGACTGCTTTTGTTTTTTTTTGTTTGTTTTTGAGGTACATTTTATGTCAAACTTGCAAGTTTGACATAAAATGTACCTCAAAACATATCAAGTCAAGTTTTAAAGTAAACTTAATGGGTTGCTTTTGAAGCACAAGTAAGTACTGTTTAGTCACATTGTCTATGTTCATGTTAGTTTGCTTGACAGGAAATGTTTTGTGTTAGAAGGCAGCTGTTAAAGGCTTGTGGTGCCATAAACTGTTATCTCAGACATTTTCTTTTATCGGTTGCAGCACTCGTCTGTGAGTTTCCTCCATCAACTGCTGTCACTCTGAGGATTATAACTTTGCTCAGTTGCTATCATTGGTATGTCTTCTTCACTTCCTGCAATATCTAGTTTTGCTGGGCTACACATTGCTTCATATTAACGAGTGTAGATTAAACATGTGGTTTGTCAAACGCACTCTTTTTACAGTATGAACTTAACCCTTCACCCACAAACAGGTGAGTGCAACAAGAGTTGTTTAAACTAGAGGAAGCTGCGGTGAGCTATCTGCACAACTCAAAGTGGGTTGTACGACAAAAGCTCTTTGAATAAACTCTTCGCACTTGCAATGCCACCAACACGAGCAGAACAAAATGTTCATCTAACACCCTGCAGTCACATGGAGAAACCACGATGTGCCTACTTCCACTTTCCAAACACAAAAAAAACTAATCAGACAATAAACACGTTAAGATTGGACATGCAAAAGGGAACAATGTCACTGTAGAATTTTAATGCATCATGTCCTTTTAATTTAAGCCCTATATGCTGAGATTACTTTCTTTTGTGGATCTGAACATCATGTCTCAGTGTGGAAATCCTGCTTTGTTATGCTCTTTTGTATTTGCATGCTTTTTACATAGAAGAGTTTTACATAGAAAATTACATAAGACTGTAAAATCCACCACGTCCTCGCTAGACATGACAAGGCAAAAACCAAAGTGATAAAATAGCAAATACTGTCTAATACTCTGCATGACACTAATCTTCCTTTGAGGGGGAGATTAACATACATGACAATGAGTTTAGTTAGAGAAATCTTTCCATCACATCAGATTAAAAGTTATGGTTTGAATCCTCTAAGATACTTTTTCATGTTGAATGAACTCCAACTGAATTGACCGCAAAAGTGCCCTCCCATCCACGCCCCTGTGTCCGGCAAATTTGAGACATAGATGATTTACACAGTTCCTCTTCACAATGTACAAACTCCTTCTAACGCAACTGAGATGTTGCGGAAATACACCAAAAAGAGAGTGAGAGAGGAAGCGTTTTTTTCTTTTTTGTTGTTGTTGTTGTGTCTTCTTGTTTACTGAATGAGGCTGCTTGAAGGACTCTGTTGCCATCTGGTGTATTTTTTGACCAATGACCGGATTACAGAACACAGACAGGTCTTCTGTGACGACAACAACAAAGGGTGATTGGCATCATTGAAAAAGACCACACCCAAAGGTCAATCAACTATTTAGTTTTTAAGATATATCCAATCTAGAACAAGAAAACACTCACCCGAAACAAATGTTTAACAATAAACTCACATATTTATTTGCATGTGAAAGTTGAATTTCTCAGAGCATATTAGGGTTCATATTTGCATAATCAATTAAGTGTTAATAATACTTACAATAAAGGGAATCGTTTTATTATTAACCTCATGGGGTGGAGGAGAGAAAATAGATAATAGACAAATTACGTGCACAGTCTCTTTAAACATTTTTTTTTCTTTTTCTTTTCACCATGACATAATTAAAAGAGATGACGTATAATACAAGCCACAAAATCTCTTGAGCTGTAACTGTCTACTGAAACCCAGATTGAGAAAAGCTATTTCTGCTAGACTTGGGATCTTGATTGTACAGGGAAAGAAACTGGTATCTACACTGAAATGTTGGTGAAAAGATTTTGCAAGCCTACGTCTGAGAGGCTGTCCTTTTTAAAACAGTCACCTTGAATTAGTTCTCCTCAGGAGTCCCTGATAGATGTCAGATTTTAGGAAGCGCGGGTAGCAATCCCTGGCCATCAGACTGTAGATCAGCTTCTGTGCCGAATCAAACGAAGTCAGGGAAGGCTGGGAGATGTTCTTTGTTATGTTTTCTCTGGTACCACAATCTATGTTGATCTGGAATCAAACAATGTTGCCCAGAGGGCGTCTCAGCAACTATTTTCATCATCATGCACTCTAATGTTCTGGGGGGGAAAACAACTTGTGTGCACTTAAAGTAACTTTCTGAAGTTTCACCACAGTAAAATACACTACCTTATAACAGTCACTATATCACTATAGGCCTGCTAAATTGAGATCATAATCAATGACCATCTTTTTTTAAATTTGAATTCCTAAAAAAAATAAATCCAGCTTGCAGTTGTTTACCTGTCTGGGCGCTTCTGTTTGGACAAACTCTGAGTAGATCCTGTTGGCAGAAGAGATCATCTCTGGCGCCGTCTTGATTTTTTTATACTCCTCACAGGCGAGCCAAAATAGTATGTTCTCCTCGCTGTACTCGGACTTCAGAAACTCCCGGAAAGCTATCTGTCCGGCTGGAAATCACAGACGACAGTAAGCGTGTAGCAATACATACAATCAAATACATGAGCAATCAAAGGAGACTCTCACCTTTACAACTGAGGACTTTGTCCACAGACTCACTCCAAGTCTCAACATCCTCCAGTGGATCCTTGGGAAAGCAACACAATCTACCCTTGAAAAGAGCATCAAGATCTATCACTAGCCCAGTTATCTGTGAACTCCACAGCACACACCAACTACAAACCACACTGGCAGGTCAAGTCATTTATAGTATGTTATGTTCGAAGATGACTGTCGGTGCATTTAAGCATCTGACAGCAACCTCACATCACTATAAGCCCCATCAGAAATAAAAGCACAATGCAAATTGAGACTTACAGTGAGTGAAAACCTCCTTGGTGTTTTCCACATGGCTGCTGTAAGGTGTTGCCTGCTGACAATTGTAAAGGCCCAATAATCAAATGTGCAGTAACTCACTTTATCGCCATCTCCTCGTCCTCTACAAAGGGAGACAGAGATAAGATCCTGCCAGACTGAAGATGGGGTTGTGATTCTTTGGAAACGAGGGAGTCAAGTGACTGAACAAATCTAAATGACCCCCACCCAACATGAATGGAATATATGGAAATCTGTATGCAAAGTTGTTGTTGGGAGAGACATGGCATCCTTCCGTGTCTGTCGCACCTGGAGGAGGAGAGCGCTCAGCTGGGATTTAAGTTGACCGCACCTGTTGTCCATGAACAGTCATCATTAATGTGGATGTGACAATATGAGGGTGGCAGCTAGTTTATATCTATATAAACTTAGTTGGATTAAGATAATTTCAACAAATTAATTATAGATTACAGAATATGTTTCATCCATCAGTAAGAACTATATTTTTATGAGTATAATCAAGAATATGGTAACATAATTGCCTGCTGTGGTGGAGTACGACATGTCAAATTCAGAACAAGATTTAACTACAGCAATGACCAATGGTCAGGAAGCTCCGGGGAAAGATCCTGACCATAAACAAATTGCCATAAACAAATTCACGATTAAGGAAAACTCTCATCATCCGCCATTTGCATATCTGCAGTGTTACTTATTCATCAAGGGGGCAAAAGCGCACTGATTTATGAATGTGCCTCATAGCTCAGTTGATGCAGGTAATCACCAGCCCTTGAAACAGAAAGGTTTTGATTTGGACCGAGGTTTTGCATGTTCATAGACTCGTCAAGCTCTTCAAATCTGCACTGGCTTTGGAATACAGAAAAGTTATGATGTGTGATACAATGTTGAGGGTTATTACAATTCATCCTGAGGGGAACATTAATGTCAGTTACAAATTTCATAGCAATCCATCCAGGTTGCTGTCAAGACGTTTCACTGAAAATCATTAAATGTTAACCTCATGGCTGTGCTCAAGGAAAAGTCAGGGGATCACCAAAGTCATGTACAAAATGTACCCCATCTAGGTGATGATATTTCTCAGGTTACATTAAAGCTTTGACCTGCTGGTAGCAGTCAGGGGATCCCCAAAGTTAGTGAGATTCATCCTCTGAGGAACATGAATGTACGTGCAAACATTCGGGGCAATACACGCAGCAGTTGTCGAGATATTTCAGTCTGAACCACAGCGGTGGACCGACCAACCGACCGACAGAACAACTGACTGACAGAGGAACATTGCCAGAGAAGTGCCGCTAACATGACTAACAACACCAGGTAAAGAACTGAATACATTTTTCACTCCACATATTCTCAGTAGGGTGATTAACTACTGCTGCAACATGAGTCAGCAGTTGTGTTCACAATGTCTTTTGTGTACGTTTAAACTTCCATCCATGGATGTTTGATTTAGACTTTTTAGTATTTACTAAAGTACTTTACTAAGATAAAGCAGAATGTTTAGAAGAGCAGAGACATTCTGTGTGATTACATATTCGTGGGATTTGAGATAGATCAACACAAGAGAGATATTTCTGACTTGCCACTTCCCAGCCTCAGAGAATATCATTACTCATGAGTTGTATGTGGAGGACTGTCCTCCGCTCTTTTGGGTCTGTTTGGTGTATTTGCACAGTGAATCGTACTACATATATCTGTAAAAGTATATCCAGTGCATTTTAACCTGTCCTGACCTTCCTGACCACTGGTAGGGATGTGATGGACCCAAACAAACCAAGGATGTAAATCACAACAGGTGATGGAAAACACCCAGGCTGCCCCTATTTGCATGTGTGTAGACGCTCCAAGTAGAGTAATTTGTTTTTCAAAAAAGGAACCGCGAGGAAAGATATGAGGACTTTAATGGTGAGTGTCTTCTTTGAGCGCTCAATGTAGAGTATCCATGTTTTTGAACTTAAAATTCATTCTGAGCAGTCAGTGTTACCATCCAAGGGCGTAAGGGACTCCCCACAGCCCTGAAATGGCTCATTTTGTAAAAGAACACTGATTGGTTTTCATTCTAACATCTAAAATGAAATTTGCTGAGTTTCACTAGTGATAAAGCAATTCACTTGGTACCAAGTTGCAATATTTTCACCGCACACAGGGTGGCACTCTAGTCATCTCCAGGCCCCCGATCTCTATTTTACAATTGCATTAAGTGTCCACCTCTCTCTGTAATTGAATGATGAACAGGGGTTTGACCTTTCCCCTGCAGGGTTGGGGTTGGTGAAGGGTACAAAGGTTAAAAACCTGTTTGAATTGGCTTTCAAACCACTGAAAGTACATCAGTAAGCATGCCTTTCATTTATTTAGAAATCATCTCTCTCTCTTGACTTGAATAGTGAAAACAGTAAGCAGCAGGGATCCCGAAGAGACCTTCTTTTCCTTCTTTCTTTTTTACATGTCTCACCCTTTCAGCAGTACATTTCTTCCAATTTCTGATTGTCCTTAAATAATATATGAAGCCAGATTAACCATAGAACAACTCTAGGCCGAGCATCTACTCGACCTCAGTGAAAAGACTCAGTGAAACATGTTTTTTGTTCATTTTCTTCAGCATGCTTTATCAGTCCAATGCAGATGACACACTAGTTTTTGTCACAGAATTGCGTTGAAGGATAATTACCCTTCAGCCTGCAAAGATTCTTAAGAAAAACCTGGTTCCTATTCATTGATAAACATCCTGCCACTTTTAGCATCGAGGGAACCCGCCCATCAGGCCTTCAACTGTTTCTTGTTCTCCCACATAAACACTTAAAACTTTATTTGAAGTACGGTGTTTAGAATTGAAGGACCAAAGTTTCACCTCGAGTCTTTCATAAACAGACCGTGGCCCTTTGCTTGCAGTTGCACTGATGTTTTATTTAGGTCGGTCAATATCTTTGCCGGGCCAAGAGCACCAAGTGCAAAACAGAATTGTAAGGGGACAATTTCACAACTCAATATCTGAGACTGGGAGTCAGCAAATCTGTTACTAAATTTGGCTCACATAGAGTTAGATAAAAGCTTCTGAGATGAGACAAAATTGTTCTTGAAAATGGGAACCTGTGCTATAAAGGTTTGCCAGAAAAATGATTTGAGATCAGTGGTTTATTTGTTATTTGGTTTTCTTCACTTCAAAAAAGCCCACGGGTGCAAATACTGACAGACTATGGCAAAGATTGAAGGATTCTTTTAAAAGAAACAAATTTGTTTGAGCAAACCTTATGACAAACCTTTTTGTTTTAAACTTCTCTAAGACTGGTATTCATCTTGTTTTACAAGCTTCATATCTCCAGGCAAACTGCTTTATACTCTGTTGTTTCCCTTCAGCATCCCTACAATACATCTTTACCTTGTGGATGATTTCAGAGGCTTTTAGCGCAGCCACTGAGTCACACATTTAAATACCAATGGGAAAGAAACAAGAAATCTGCCAGCAGAATTCTGAGCGGGCAACTAATCTTAAAATGTGATGAATTTGGCAGGCCAGCCGAGCTCCTACCTTTGTTAGTACATCGTCATATTTCCCCTCTCTTCTCTGACTATTCGTGTGAGAGGACAGCAGGAACTGCAGAACACGCATGCCGCTGTCTACATGGGTGTTTAATTAATCTCAACTGTGAGGTAGTCAACGTCGTTCTATTTCTGTATTTTGGGCTGAGATGGACTTCTCTCTAAAGGCTATATTAGAAACCCTGACATCTGTATTAATGAGATAAACCAGCTCTCTGTGTGTGTATGTGTGTGTACACAGCTTGAATCTGTGCACATGTATGTACATACTCAAGAGTTTGGGGGTGAGTGGGATCACTGACAGTTTCTAATTAATATATATTTGTCTTTGTAAGAAGTATATCTTGTACATATACAGTAACATGAATAATTATGTGCTAGAGGGGTTGCTGTTGATAAGGTCTATTCATTTATCAGCAATTTGGGATAGGGAGGCACGTACACATGATCCCAATTTTCCCATTAGTGTAATATGCAAACATGATGTCTCCATTTGTCACATTTAGATGTGACCATTCACCCACTAATTAATGACACTAAAGGCCTCATTAAAACAGCTTCTTAAGTGTTTATTTGAGTTTAGTATGTACATTTTACAACAGCAAGGCAACACATATGAGCATAGCAGTACATAAATTATGTTAGATGACAGCAAACTGAAAAACAGCAATTATAATTATTATAATGTCATATTAGTATTCAAATAAGATATATGCATTTTCCGTGTGTGAAAATGGGATACATTTGATTTCAGAAACAGAAATGAGAGATATATATCCCTTACTAAAACGTTTCTGTGCTTTGCAGTCACCGTGGCTGCAGGCTTGCTCTGCCAGTTAGCCTGGAGGGGGTTGGACAATGCGAGGGATAAAATCACGAGCCCATTTTAATGAGATATGGTCAAATTAGCTTGCATGCCATATCAACTGTATTACGGTTGTATAAGGTGCTATTGCTGGACTGAAAGACAAAACAATTGAAGTGTAATGAGTCTGTCAGTAGCATGGAGGCACTTTAGCTGAGATTCTGTCCCTAACCTTCCCATTGACATTTGAGTTTTGCAAGATTTGAGGAAATCTTAAAATCATCAATAACGGTTCAATCCACAAGCAGTGCAGTGCCTCAGAGAAGGAGATTAGATTGTTCCACATGTGCAAAGTGAATACTCTCTTATGGCCACAGAGAATACTCAGTTCTGATTGGCCAGATGTTCTCCATTATGTTCAGATAACCACACTGCTCTGACGTAGTGGCCTCATAGCAGTTCTAAACGTACTCTTTTGGGCCGAAAAGGCTAATGGTGTCAGCTGTTATCCAGCTGTGTAGTATAGTACTTAAAGTTTGATATCTTGGGAAATACGTTTATACACTGTCTGGCCAAGATTAGAAGAAGAAGATGACGAGAAGATACATCTGTGTGGTAGGAGAGAGGTATCAAGCTTCTCAATTTACACTCTGCGTGGAAGCAAATAAGCGTATTCCCCAAAATCTAGAACTATTTCTTTAAATTGTTTATCATTGGCAAGATGCCATGGTATTATGGAAGTGGTTATAAAAAAATAACACACTGCAGAAGCAAACCTGTGGATTATAAGCCTCCGAACCACACATTGCATTTCAACAGCCGTGCTGCTAATCACGGATTACCCCCTATACAAAAATCTGAGTGAGTCTGCAATGTTAGCCTACCACTACCAGGCCGAAGGTTCAGTTATGGCCTCGCCCCTGTCGTTGAATACACAGGAGCGTGACCGTCTGCGAAACATGGTGGCCCCCGGGCCTTTCCTCCTGGTGAGCCGCAGATAAATGTCAGAGAGGAGGAACCTGGGGTAGGAGTCTTTTTTCATCAGGCTGTAGACTTTCATCTGGGCTGCTTCGAAACAGCTCTTTGTGGGCTGTGCTATGACCTTCTGAATGGCTGTCTTGGTGTTGTAGTCAATGTTGATCTGAGTAAAATAGAAATTGGAACATAATGAAAAACCATGCAGAATAATGACGTGTCATATCAACTACATACAGAAAATCTATACTAAAGGAATGCCATATTTAACAATGCACACTTAAGTCTCTGAATGCCTGATTTAGGGTTTTGTGCCAGGATTTGAATAAAGTTTATAACAACACAATAACAGAACACGGGTTAAATAAAGGCATAGACTGCATATAAGAAGCTGACCTAGTCCTCGAGACGTCACCCATTGTTTTGTGGGCTGTGGATTTGAAGTCTTGAGTTAAAAATTTTGGCCATCCATATTGGATTTTGGCCATCCCCATCTTGATTTTTTTGCAGCCAGTGAAGTGAAGTGACCACATTTGGACTGGATCCCCTAGTGGCCAGTAGAGAGAAGGCAAGTTTAAGGCACTTTCACGTTGGCTTCACTTTTCAGAACCGGAGGTTGCGGCCTGCGTAAAGGGCCTCGTTGATTTGGTGAGAAAACATCTAATGGTGACAAGAAGAAAGGGGGGAAGCCCCAAGGTTCAAGGTGAGAGCAGTGTAAAGAAGAGCGACTTGGAACAGTGGAGAAAATCAACATCTGCATGTTATATACACATAGGATCAAATATGATCCTATCCTATTCATTCATTTGCAACTGTCAAGATGCTTTTAAATACTTGTTCTCTTAAGAAATCAGTTCTCCCCAACCCGCTTAAGAGGATCTTTTTCCACGAGGACACGAGCATCTACATACTATTCTTGGATTTGATCGTTCTTTTCCAATCATGTGAGCCAAAGCTAAATTCTGCGTTATTAATGACCCTGCTCTTTTCGGTGATAGATAAGACCGAGACTTGATAAGGACAGATTCGCTGTTTGGTTGGCACTGAGCTAATTTGAGTTTAAAGCTCACACAGGCAATCACTGACACACACCAGCTCCCTGGATGTCCTCACAGACATGAATGTTAATTATCTGGTGCCTGCTTTTGTGAATGAGTTGTTTGTTTAAAAACACTGGTTAGGACAATGCTAGTCATTGGCTGTGAATTGTCTTTAAACTGGGAGTTTTTCTTTAAAAGACCAACAGCAGTGAAGCTTCTTACACAGCAATACAAATAATCACCACAAACACAGCTCTCAAAATATTCATGTGTATCAAACTGCAACTCTCCCACCATCAATATTGAACATACATTTTTACATCTCTCTGCAAATCACTAGAGCTGGTACACACTTTCATATTAGTGCAGCATGTTCCATTTTTACACAGACATTCATCTTAGACGGAAAGTGTGTGGGTGATGCTCTCTCCACTTCTGCAGAGGATTGTCGAAACCTCAAACCAGACACCAAACTCTTAACGGTCAGATCTGCTGCAGGCCACGAAAGCATATCAGATGGGGGTCGCAATGTCCTTGCAAGGCAATGGAAACCTTTCAATCAGCAACTGTCTCGCACAGAAATAACCCGACCTGGTTTGCAGCGGTGCATGCACTATATGCATGACCTCAGTGGGCTGCTGCTCCTAACCATTGTTCATAAAGGTCAACGTGCTGCAGGCCCATGACTCTGCAGTGCTTAAGAATTCGCCCACTGTTCCTTTTATACAACGACATAATATTTCAAACCTCCAACAGTTGTTTGAGCTTTTGTAGCTCCACTGTATAGCCTATTATGCAGCATTACATCTGTGCAATGTATGATAAATAAACATGCCACGCCATACCTCTTTAGTAGCCTCTGAATCAATATAAATCGTATAAATATATTTGGCTTTGGACAGCAGCTTCTTGTCTGAATCAATGGTCTTGTATTCTTCACAGGCCAACCAGAACTCAATGTTTTCCTCACTGAACTCTGTCCTGAGGAACTGAGAGAAGCTTTCCACCCCATCTGATGAAGAGAAACGGAGACAAAGACACACTGTTGGTTAATATAGTGACACAATACAAAGATGAACTGCTGCTCAAAACAGAATCACTATCTGAGCCTGTTGGGTAAACGAAGTTTATATTTGATTGTGGCAGGATGTATCAAGGAGGCATAGACTCTCCATAACTTCTCCTTGATGGCATTACTGTACAAATAATTCAATTAATTAATAACTTAAATATACTTATTACAGTATTATGGTCATCATAATACAGCATTGACTATATAAACATTACCAAATGAGCACATACAGTGGTTTACACGGTTTCAATGTGGTACTAAAGTGCAACTTTTGTGCTTATGAGGAAGTTGCCCAGTTTCTGTATTGCAATCTCTGCTAAAGACATTAAAAGATGTAGTGAAACTCGCACTGCTCTCTCCATTAACTATGTATTGCCTCTAGCACATCAAATGGAGTAAATTGTTTGACAGCAAAATAAACGGTTTTGGACGGCGATTCGCCTCAATGTTCTTGAGAAGTTTTGGGCATTAATCTGACCTGAGTGCTTCAGCAATTCTTCAAAGGAGTCGCTCCATTGCAAAGCCGCTTCTGGTGAGATGCTGCAAAATAAATAAATAATAATATCAAGAGTTAAGGTCAGCTCTTCCCTAACGATGCTACAAGAAATGTTTTGGATTCTCGTGACACGTTTAGTTTCTATGAGTGTGCAATGAGTCATCGAGGGTGCTGGAAACCGAAGTCAGAAATGAAGAATACTTGTCAAACACAACTTTGCACATATATATGAAATGAATAGATTTTTGCCTTACGTGGTGGGTGTCGTATTTGTCTCTTTATTGCGACTGACGTTTTCATGAGAGCCTGACTTGGTGAGAAAAAGGCTTAGTCGGCTCTTCCTCTCCTTGTCTTTCTGTCTGCCAACAGAGAGGGAAATACATCAAGTTCCACAAACTGTCTGTACGTGCAACTGGGGCATTGTTCACCAAATCAGCAACTTATAAGAGAATTACGCCTCATGGACACATTTCTAAAGTGGCTTAGAAGACAAGCCATAAATTACACAACATCTTTGTAGAACAAAACAAATTGTAAGACAAAAAGGCAGCAGAGACAGCTTTTAAAAATCTAACAGCCTTACATGATGTCAGCTGTAGTGGCTTTCAAATGAACTCTACAGAAACATCACATAGCTGTTCTACACAATTTAGCTGGAGTAAAACAAGACTTTTCTACAGAAAGAAGCTGTTGCTTAATCTCTTCTCATGATAAAGATGGCACTATTCACTCATTTCTGACATGAACAGCAACATTTACTAAAGCACACTATCAAATGACACATAATAAACATTTAAAAGCAACCGAGTTTCACACACCAACCTGCTACAATCGTCCTTCATCTTTGGTGGCTGCAAGTCTTCTGGACCAAGCATTTTGAAATACGCTTCCTTCTTTGGGGCCATGTAGTTGAATTGAGGAAATAGAAAAAGAAGCGCCTCCATGCTGGTTTGTCTGTATCTGGTGTGCGAACCGGCAGGCCACAAATAGCTTTTTGAAATTTTTTTAACCCATCACTCGATGAACCACCTCGCCTTTTATAAACCACGCTCGCTTCACATTTGATTTCCCATACCTTCTTGCTCTACTTCCTGTAATGGTGTAACCACTTATTGCTAACAGCTCCATCAGTGATACAGAAACCCCCCTGGGTTCAACATCCTGTCAACTGTTTACTTAGAAAAGTGAAAAAGACAGCTGGCAATGCTCATTCATGATTTCTTTGTTTTTGCTTGAGGTTATGTCTCACAATTGTATGATAGCAAATTGTACTGAAGCAATTATCACCTAATAACCCAGGTAACATAAAACCAACTTGTGTTGTCAGACTTTTTGTAGATTCTGTTTATTCTCTCTTGTTGTTGCTGTTGATGAATGCATTCTTTAAGAGTGAGATCTTGGCCATTATAAGAGATTATTACTCGTATTTTACAATTCCACTTGCACCACCAGCAAGGGCAGACACTGCAGATGGGAAGAATGGAATGTAATGAATAATAAAACGTGTCTGCACATAGTCTTGGCCCAGCTCTTTCCAGAACATCCGAGCCTTAATGGAGAAAGACAAACTCACTGTGACATAGTGGAAAGCAACAGGGAATAGGTGTGTTCTGGGACAGATGGAGACAAATGTGGTGTCTGTGTTAGAGAGAGACTGAAACTGTCTTTAAAGATAACATGTTAGACAACAAGAAAAAACAGCAGGTCTACCACAGTGAACCAGTCACAGTCCATCTTAATTAAGTCCCACTCAACTCAAAGACGTGTGATTTACATCTCGTTTCATCACATGCATGTTTGACCTTCACTGTGCAGAAAGATGTGCAGAGTTTGACACCAGAAGGCTGTTTTCTCCATGCTCACCTTAAATCTGAGTTTAGTGTGTACTTATGGGTTACACAAGAGTAATGCGGAAACTCGAAGCCTCCAATGCACATTCAAGATCATGATACCATAAGTCAGTATTTTATTGCTGTATTTGTAATTGTGGACCGAAACATCCATCTAGAGCTAAAGACCACATATGATTGTGGGAGAAAAATGTAGTTGTGTCTTGAAATATATTTGTATAACATCATATCCATAATTTGAAATGTATTCCTGTATATTCACATGCATACCGTGATATTGGCCTGTATCCTTGTCATATGTTATTCACAACACTGAGGCAGGGTATTTGTGCTCTTTTGGCCGCCTCAACCTTTTAACCTTTTTTGACACGTGGGTAAAGCAAAGTTCAATCTGTAAAGCAACTACTTCACAATTCTTGACATAGGAAACAGGATGCTCTGTCAGAGGGTGAAAGAACGGCCAAGGGACTAGGAAAATATGCGCAATTCAGCTAAATGTATATATGCACGAACCAAACTCATCAATGGGAGGATTTGTTTGCAGACCAAACATCTACGCCAAATTGTCGTTACATTAGGCTATAGCTAGCAGCTAGCTACGGCTAGCGACCTCGCATGTGAAAATTCTCTTACATGTTATTACATCCGTGTAACTGCAGGCTGAATCAAAGCCTTTCTCCATCCGAACAACACCCATTGATTAAAAGAGACACATTCTATACTGCAAAGGCATGTGTACAGATGCAACCCAGTGAGCCGATAAACTGAAACTGCAGTATCCTTTTCCCTTCAGGTAAACAGAGGACTGCTGAATCACTGAAACCAAATTAAATAGCAGTCATTAGCTTCACTGTATGTATTTGCCTCTTGTCAACATACCAGATGAGAGAACCAACAAAATCAATACACACACAGAGCCAACAAGGTTCTCCCGCCAGCTGGAACAAAAGATTAGGATTGTGTAGTTTTATCATTTTGAAATAATATTCCCATTTACGGTTTTAATTATTTAACTACCAACACCAAGTCTTGTGTTCGGTTCTCCATGCAATGTGATTACACATTGTTAGCAAAGACGGAAGGAAAAACAGAGACTGTGCTTCTGCATTTATTGCTGGAGAAGAGGTGTGTCTAAAAGCAATTTAGCTCAGGGATAAACAGTTTGTCTGAAGTGTCACTGAACTAAGCATTAAATATTGTACAAACACAACAGTTACACTAATAGGAAGTCACATGATGTAGTGGTTAACTGAAAACGTGCACCCAGCATTGCAGACTGTCCTCATTCTGTTCCTGTATTATGGCATCACTAAACACAATTGTACCTCTGTAGGTAGCGATAATGTGCAAATATATCTTTATGAGTGTGTTTTGGATGTCGCTTGGTGAAAGGGGAAGTGATGGATTTGAAACTGCTGACACGGGTGAAGGAGGAAGGAGGACTGTTGTTACTTCCTGTTTGAAAACATCTGGTCACGTAGGGCTAGTCTGGCTGGCATGTCTCTACATTCAGAAAACATATTAAACTCACACAGAAAGATATACAATTGAAAACGTAAAAGACTCCACTGAACCAGCAAGGTACCCACAAACACACACAAACAAACCTTCAACAAACATAGAAACAAAGTTTAGGTTTGACATTTCTTCAAAATGTAGCATTTGCAATATTCCATTTGTGTTTGTGCATTCAAAGGGAAAATAAACAATATGCCTCAGTGGGATTGCTTTCATCTAAAATTGGGACACCGCATATGTGATCAAGAGAAAGGCATGTGGGTGCTGAGCGGAGAGGCTGGGCATCCATAAGGCCTTGAACCTTCCCGAGAGAGAACAATATGTCAAACTAGGAAGGACAGATGAAGAACTTCTTCTATTTCTGTTCATCATTTGCCACATTAGACATTCTTTTTAATGACATCGGTTTTGTGCTTCTGTCCCATTTTTGATGTCAAAACGGTGTGAATGATTAAAAAAGGAAAAAAGTTGTATCTGCGCAAATGGAGCTTGGAAATGAAAAATCATCATTCATTCATGCATGATTTTAGATTGTTCCGCAATTATGGGCAGAAGTGTGGTGTCATGGACCAAACAGGCTGGGTGCGTTGAGCCATTGTAAACACGTCAAAAATGGTGTTATGTTCAGGTGTTAGGATGAATATGATCTAGGGAGGGGTGTGGTTTAGGGACTGCAACCCACTATACTTGGAATTATTTTCACATCGGACAATTCTGCACCACATGATTTATGTCTTGCGTCAATGTTCAGTGCCAATGACAGTGTGCTCTTTACGGTAGATGGGCGTGTATTACACCTGACTTTCAAGCAGGCGACCAGTTTGGGCCATCACAGAACCGAAATCTCGTTACAATACCCATACGACTATTTAGTATGCCAGAAAAGTATTCCGTATGTCCCAATAGATAGTATATCAAATGCAGTTTGCCAAAAATGGGATGTCCTACTGCATCCGGTTGCATTTTGCTTTATGCAAGCCATCATGCTTTCCAAGCAACATTTACTCAAGTAATGTAGAACATTTTATGCTACTTGTAATATACTTGAATATTTACATGCTTCTCCTCCACTGAATTTTGGAGAAAATAGAAATGAACTAATAAATTATGATGTCTAACTACCCAGCAGTATATAACGTACTCTATATGGCTCTGAATATGGGCTATTCTCCATAACCAGTCCTTTTACTTTTTTTACTTTCAGTATATGTTGATGCTAACACTTATGTACTTTTGATTGAGTAAGATTTTGAATGCAGGGCTTTTACTTGTAACAGAGTATTTAGACACTGTATTATGGCTACTTATAATTAAATGAAATATCAGAATACTTCTTCCACTACTTTATGGACCCCATACAAATCTGTATATTGACTCCTTATACTGTCTGTGTCGAGCTGACCATGAGTTGGGATGCAGTCATTAGAGTGGAAAAAAACCTAACCAAGATGTATTTCAATATTGATTAGTTGTACAAGTGAAACTCGGCTTACTTACTATGATCATGGTTGGTGCAGAATAACAACATTTGCCCACCTCTCAATACCCAGCAGAGGTGCTTTCTAGTTTCAGTCTTGCAGTTTTATACATAATGATTCATACTGGGTGGTTGGGTTGCTTGTGTGCAGTGAATGAAAAACTAAAAGTAACATAATATTTGTAACCTCGAGGACATTACTGGGCTCATCTTGTCTTAAACATGAGCCCAATTATTTGGAGACATACAGTGCGCAGACCATGTGAGGCCTGGGGTTTCACATGGACCCTCTTGAAGCTCTCCTTTGCTCATTTCGCAACCCACATAATAATAATAATAATAATAATAATAATAATAAACTTTATTTATACAGCACAAAAGAGCAGATAAAAAAACAAAAACAACAAAAGAATAAAAGACAAACAACAGAGGGATCATTAAAATAAAAGGATGATGAAAATAAAGTTAAAATACATAAAACGGCCAGGAGGGACGATGAAATCCAACAACACATCAAATATTCATAAATGCTTTGCAATAAAAAAAAGACGCTACAGATGTAGTCTGTCTGATTTCAATGGGCAGAGTTGTCTGCAAAGGCCCGGTCAGCCTGCATCCATCGATATAAGGGAACATCCAGGCACATGGGGGTCAATAATTCCTTGATATATTTTAGAGCAAGGCCATTTAAAGGTGCTAAATTTGGCATTCAGAGCACTAACGCAGCAGCAAACGAGGTGGAGTAAAGGCTCTCCGTCTGTGTGTAGTAATCAGAGCTTCTTCTTGCTTTTTTGACATTGCCGGGCCGGCTGCGAGCGACTTTTAATGCATGTGAGCATGCCCCACTGGTGATTTCAGGGCCGCTCCACTGCGATCACGCGGCGGCTACAGCCGATAACGCCGCACCGACCCCCTGTTTGACACCGTTAGTTCTGTCAACACTGTTTATGTTGTTTGCACTGTTAGTGCTCTTAGCACTGTTAGCTACGACCACTGGCTCTGTCGGAGTGATCGATTGCGTCGAAAGCAGCATTCAGATCGAGAAGCAATAGAGCTGATCAGTCACCTCAGTCTGCTGCTGAAAGCAAGTCATTGGAATTGAATGTTTATGAATTAAATAAATGATATGATCTCTATGAAAGATGATTTTCTTCAAATCATATATCTGTAGGGGTGGACTATCTGCTAACGCAGTCCAGTGTCTTAGTTTATGTACCGAAAGGTGACAACCTGATCAGTAAATTATTTTGTAGACCCCCTGACACAGACTCCACTTTGAGAATCACTGGCCCAGTCAATGTGGCTCTTACATAAACT